ATAGAGCAACTCAAATCAACTCAGATGTGTCAGATTCCTAATGCAAAGCAAGTATGTGTTGCATTCTCAGTGTTTCTTAAAGCAATGCTATTGTGGACATTAGCATAAACTGTTCTTTCTGCGGTCAGTTTTCACTTTCCAGTGTTTGAAGAGAACCTACTGAATAAGTTACAGGTACAGTACATCTTATAAATATGTTCACATCCATCTAGGTGAATAATAATGTCTGGCATCTTTGCTATTGAAATATCCGGTGAGTGACGCTAAAAGGTTAATGCATTGTTGTATTTGAAAATAATGCATTAACTTTGTTGTATTTTTTAAATAATGCACGACCTAAACTAATCTCTTCCCCTTCCCTTCCCAACAGTGTTAACAAAAGCAAACGTGGTATCAAAACTAATTTGCTGAAGTAACCATGCCATGTACTTCCTTTTACAAATCTTTGAGCTCTTTTCATGACTATTGTTTCACAGGACTGTGCAAGTTAATTATGTAAAAAAAAGTCATACACACAGTATGAAACTGATCATGCATAGCAAACATCAAAATGTATAGTTTACTAATCATATATATATTAAAATTTGTATGAAAAGGAATAAAAATAGTTGGTGGTGTTTTACTGCCGCTAGTGTTTATTTCAGCTGTATGCATAGGTTTTTATATGCAAAGGTTTTTGAAGTTTGGCACATAGGTAGAGGCACATTTTCCTAATGTGTAAAGCAGAGGTGCGAAGCTTGGAAATTTATAAAAGCACTTTTATTAAATCTCCTGGTACAATTTAGTGTTATTTGAGCTGTAATGTTGTTCTCATCATGTTTACAATCGTTTTAGGGGTTTAGTATTATATTGTCATAGCAAAAAAATTGTATTGGATAAAATTTTACACAGAAAAGGTAAGAAAGTGATTTTGTCACACTAAAATCGAGTTACGATGCATATTGTTCATGTCCTGTGGCTATACTATTGAAACAGTGCGTATTTTACAGTTTATGGAGTCTTCAGCAAGTGCCTCACTGTAAGCCAGTTTTTCTTTTACCAAATCAAAATCAATTATTGTTGTAATCAACATTATGCCACAAGTGCTGTCGACTAGGCTTATACTGAACTCGGAATATCTTTTTAATATCTTCTATTACACAACTGATTTGGTTTAATAACTTTCTACAGTATTCACTTTATTTTTGGCCTAGATTTTATCTTAATCAGGTTGCGAGTTAATACCTAAAGACAATTATTTTACTATCTCACCTTCAGATTGTAAGTGTCATCAGTCCAGTTACACCACAACATCATAGCATGATAAAGCCGGATATTGTTCAGCAGATTCGTAGAAAGAGCCCTAAAATAGGCCTTTGATATTAAAGAGGATTTACTGAGGCAATCAGCATGAGTTGATTTTCTGTGAGTTGGGTTGACAAAAGCCAGTCAGTGTGTTAAAAGACCCAGAAAATCTATAGAGTACACTCACATCCAGTTGATTGTCTGTGTATCATTAATATTCATTATCTGCAGAAGCGTGCGTAAAGCAATAAAATAAAATAAAATATGTCTAATTCTTTGTTCTGGGGTACATTAAAGCATCCCTCTTACTGTGTAATTTCACATAAGTACTGAATAATAACGAACAGTGTGTTTAATATGTGATTATAGATAGAAAGTTTTGTAATGACACGTTGTTAGTGTTACTGTATGCCATCTTTATAAATACTGTAGAAATGTATCTAGTTTATCCACTACAAAGTAATCTTTAAAATCCTACCTGTATTGGAAAGTTTCCCTGCTACAGGAAATTATAGGTGTGCTACGGAGGACTTAAAAGGTTAAAAGTTCATTCTGCAAGGATATTTTATCCTCTTGGTGATCATAATTGTCATATTGGTTCTGAAAATACGAGTCATTGCTTTGTGATACTTTGGAGTTCTATCAATTTATCAAAATTGTGATTGATAGAACGTTTCAATTGATTCATACATACAGTACATACATACATACATTAAAATTAGAATAGGAATTCTGTAAACTTTGGTACATTTTCTACACTCTAAAATGTTTTGTCAGGTATAGCTGTTGCTAATTCTTCATGTGGTAGTATCTAAATATACTGGTTATTCAAATAAAAACTATTAATTAATATGACAGAATCACTCAGACTATAGGCAACATTTAAAAAAAAGAATCATCATCATCATCATCATTTTTAACAGTCAGATAAAAATAGCTCCTTAAAGCTCCAACTTAATGTCTTGATTTAACAACGTAACGTCTTTTTTTAAACAATTCATCTACATATTATGTCCATTATACATATTTTCTATGTTTAATAATTTATAAAGGTATTTAATGCTAATACACTGTAGGGCTGTCAAACAAAATCAAATTTTGAATATTCGTCGAATTTTTTAAAACAAATTCCACATTCGAATGCAAAAACGTAGCATTCAAATTTTAGGTCTGTGTCAGCCGTCAGGCACAAAATGCGAAGATGATGTAAGTGTCATTGCTTTTGTTAGCCTATGCAGTTGAACCCACTAGATGTGGCGCTGCTACATTATTCATTCAACATGTTCCTGTGGCTCAGTGGTAGAGCATTGCATTAGCAGTGCATAAGGTCATGGGTTCATTTCCCAGGGAACACACATATTGGTGAAAAGTGTATAGCCTGAATGCACTGTAAATCGCTTTGGATGAATTTTTTTTTAAATTAAATTCAAATTAAATATATTGTGGAAAACTAGAGCATCAGTGTGGAGAAGATGTTTACGTCAAAACTGAAACCAAGCCGTTCACACATTTAGCACATTTTCTAGCGGGACATCTATCAGCGTTGCACTCGCGTCTGGCAGAGAACGGCATGTTTAGAAAGCCATGTAAAAATAATGTAAGTTCAAATTTTTCAATTCATCCCACTGTATCTCATGTTTTTTTAAATGAACAAAGTAGCCTACTCTTTGTGATTGGTTTTCGGTCCTTTGTATTACAGTTTTTCTGAATTGCTAAAACACATTTCTTGAAACCATCACTAATTTTCTCAAAACCTAAAACACAAATCCAAACACCAAACCTCTGACTCTTCCATCAAAATCAAACAATCACTGCAAACCATTTCACTTGCACTCAAAATCAAACTGTGCTCTCAGATCACACACACATGAGTCAATAAAATAAACACTACAGAGCATTCATTAGACACTACAGAGAAAAATGGAGAACACAGCATCCAGAATATTACAGAAAAAAGTATATTGAGTAAACAATTTTGCAATTCTGTAAAAAAGTATAGTAATTGCAACTGAGTAAGGTGAATATATTGTATAGGCCTACTGTATGTACTGCAAGAATAGTATAGTGCTGAATATTGAATAGTACTGAATGTTTGTATATATTCAGCTCTTGGATACTGCAAAAATACTGCAGTCCAACTGCAAAGGCCAAAAAGCTCTAAATGAACAGCATGTTACAGTACACTCAAATACTGTAAGTTGTGCAATTGTAAAATCAGGTCAATGAGATTCATTCTGTCTCAGCATCATATCTTTGTGCTTGAGTCCGGCCTTAGGACTTTGTCCACATCACAAGTAATGTTGTCTTTTTTGCTAGACAAAGAGAAAAAGCCCTCTGGTCTGACAGATCTAGCCTTGAAAACACTCTTTAAGCCTTACTCTTTCTCTCCTCATCCTCTTCCTCTTCTTCCTCCACTTCTTACATGTACTCTTCCTACTCTCTTTCTCAGATTGTTTCCATCTATTGTCCGTATCATTATTCAGTCACCTGTGCCACTTGTGCACTCTGAACTGGCTCATATTTTGTACAGATGGTTTGATCACATCATTAGGAACAAGTGTGAACCATTCTGAATCGTTGTGTGTAAACGATGACAACTGTGCTTTAGTTGTGTTTAACTTTTGCCGCTTGTGTTTAGCATTTTGCAGCACAAATGCATCACAGTGTGATAAGTGTTTAAGTGAAAGAGAACGTGTTTAGAGTTTTGCAAAAAGAGTGCATGAGATTTGCAAATAGAGCCGTGTTTAAGGTTTAGCAGAAAGAGTGCTTTATTCTGCAAATTGGTTTAAGCTAGTGAGAATGTGGTTCAGAGATGGGGTTTTAGTGTTTTAGCAATTCAGAAAAACTGTAAACTATACATACATACATGGTGCTGTTTTTTTTCTAATTGTTTAAGCAACTTTATTAATTATATATGGTTTATAAACATTATTTTAAACTTTATGCACTTTTTTCAAAGATAGTCGTGTTATTTTATTACGCTTTGAAGAAACATGCATAATTTTTTTGCTCGATGCGCCCTCTTGTGGCCTCAGGAGAGAAGCCAAAAGCTTTTATTCCCCTAACTGAAATTATGCCTTTTAAATTCGAATATAATTCGAATTTTGATCATATTTAAGTAGAAAATTCGAATTTAGTTTTTCATTCATTTTGACAGCCCTAATATGTAATAATGTAAATATGTAATACAATGTTTATTTAATAGCCTGATTATAATACAAATAGTTAAATTATCCATCCTTGTGTCCTCATATGTATTACATATAATACTTTTATTGTTTGTAATTTGTTTTTTACTCGATCACTCAATTTTGCACGGTTTATCATTTTTATTTTCTAATATATGAAGCATTTTGAGCTTCATTTGATGTTTGAAAGGTGCTTAAAATTATATGTATTATCATTAGATAGAATGTATCAATGAAAATGTGAATATTCTATTTATAGTTATATAATAGTTAGATAATATTAATTAGGCTGTATTATTATTATTAATTATATGTCATATGAATCTTTATATGTACCTTTAAAAGTGTACGACAGTGATACAAAATTGCATTCCTCCTTTAGCGAACATACTCTGTAATGTACCGATTTCTGAAAGCATACAAATGCCGCATGATCACCCGGTAATAGAGTGTGTGTGTGTGCGTGTGTGTGTGTGTGTGTGTGTGTGTGTGATGTACTGTTCGTTTGTCAGTGTGATTTTTACTCACTCCGGTTTCCTGGCGAGTCCAACGGACCGGCACAGTGTCGAAGGAGTCTGCGGAACCAGAGACTTGCAGGACGGGCTCCTCTTATCGTCCTCCGCGGACTCCGGGCTGGACTGGGTCGCTTTGAGAGTCGGTGGGGACGTCGATACAAGCTGCAGATGCTGCGGGTGATGAATGGGAGCTGCCGGAGGATGCTGCGGCTGTTTGGACGGATGCTGCTGCGGCTGGGCTTGACCGTGGAAACTATACTGACCCGACCAGAGATTAAAAAACAAACAAAAACAAGTAGCTAAAAAAGTAATTAGCCTACCATGAATGTGTCGGGGGAAATAGTAAAGAGATATTTGAATTATTATTATTATTAGTTATTATTATTATTATTATTATTATTATTATTATTATTATTATTATTATTATTATTATTATTATTATTATTATTATTATTATTATTATTATTATTATTATTATTATTATTATTATTATTATTATTATTATTATTATTATTATTATTATTATTATTATTATTATTATTATTATTAAACTACTGTTTTCTGAGTCAGTGTCGCAAAGACGAAGTTGACTATCCTGACTAGCCATCTCCTCTCCAAGAGTTTTTGTTTTCGATTTGAATTATTTCGTTTTAAAGTAATTTAAAGCTTTCTATAGATATATTTGTCATGTCTGTAAGGCAAATATTCGCTGAGTTTCGGTTAATTTTTGTGAAGCGCTCCTGTTCAGTACCGAGACGGCAGAATGCGCAACCTGTTTGTTTTCCTTATTTTACAAAAGCACAAAGTTTCTTGTGAGCGCACACAAATAAATGTAGACCCTTTACAGTGTATAATGATCTATTACTCTTATCTTTATGAGCAAAAATGACGGCGCATTTTATTAAAGGGGTCATATGATGCGATTTCAATTTTTCCTTTCGCTTTGAAGTGTTACAAGCTCTTGGTGCATAAAGAAGATCTGTAAAGTTGCAAAGAAAGTCTCAAATCCAAAGAGATATTCTTTATCAAAGTTCAGAGTCAGCCACGCCTACCTAAAACGGCTCGTTCTAACACGCCCCCACATATCTACCTCACTATGTGGGAAGATTTGCATAATGCCGCCCAAATGTTCACGCAAAGAAAGAAGGCGTAACTTTTATTCTCGCTGTAGTATTGTTGATGCTGCAGCCATGTACGCTGTGTGCTTCGTTGTGAAAGTGAAACTACTTTGTTTGGTCTTCCAAAAGAGGACGATATCCACTTCGTCATGTGCAAGTGATGCGCTGTTGCCTCTATGTGCTGCCGAGCGCGCTTTAGCTTCCACTCTCCGGATATGCGCCTAAAAGCGCACATTTATATAGGTTAAACGTTTAAACTAACATTGTGATATGCTTTAAGTGTTTCATATCTATATATTTTATTTTATTTCAAGCCGTGATGATCTGAGAAGGCTAAATTGATCAAACATAGGCACTGTCTGCCGCTGGCCGCTTGGTTGTTACTATAAAAAAGAACTTTTTTTGAACAACAACAAAAATGTTCCAGACATATTTCTAAATTAACGTCATAAAGAAACGAAAAAAACACTTTGCAATTAAAAACAAATCTGAACTACTTTAATGGCTGCAACAGCAGTATAATGGGGAAGAGAGAAAAGACACGGGCTCCAGTCGGATTTAGGCAGAGAATTCTGATAAGGTGTCAGGCAAGAGCCGGGCTAGGACCAAGATTGGAGGCCTGTGCAGGGCTCTACATTATTTATTTGTTGGTAAAACATATCATCCTTATTCATTTTGTTAGGCTAATAAAAGTTCAAAGTTTAATATAAGTGAATATATTATTGTAGCTGCTATTTTATTGTATAGCCTACTTTTTTTCATTAATAATAGCCTAATGAGCCACAAACTAAGCATTCGTTATTTGTGTTACAACCTTAAGTATTAAGAATAGGATACAAGAATAGGAAAGGTCTAGCATTAAACACCACAGTAAGCCCTACAGATCTGAGAATGCAGGATTGCTTGCTGCTGAAGACGCTGTCGCTCTTTATCTGCTGTCTCTTAGCAATGGTTGTAGAAATGGTCATTGATCTTAATATGGGTACGGCACAGATGTTACAGGTAATAATAATATGATCAAAAAGTCATGGCAACAAATTATTTTTTAAGTCAGTTAAATAAGTTGAAACGACTTTCACAGTCAATTTGATTTAACTTAACTCAACTCTTGCTTATAGTGTCATTGTAGGCTCAGGCTACTTTTTTCAATGAATTTTAAAGAATATACGAATTAATCAAATTAATTTTATTTATTGTTGCAAAATTTTCATTTACTTATTTTCAACCCCCAGTCCCCCTATTTTTTCTTGGGCTACAGGACAGGGGGTGCTGCAGCACCCTCAGCACCCCTAATTCCGCGGTAATGCATTGTGATGATAGCTGATAGCTTCTAATAAGGTGAATGTCTTCTGTTTCACAGGCCGGAAAGAAGACTACAGGTGTCTGTTTTTTTTTTTTTAAATGGATGTCAAAGGAAGAGAAGTGATTTTGTCGCAAAACAGCTTATCATTTAATGAACTGACAGCCCACTGGCTAATCTTTAACATGTTTACCATTAAACAATTGTTTTGGATGGATCTATTTTTAGACTTTTCAGATTTTTACACTGAAAAATGCCTAATAAAATCGTCACCGACAGTTCTGCAACAAATTCTACCTGACAGGTAGGATTCAGTTTACGGTGCTTCTCATTCATTTCTATGTTATCCATAAACAGTGATTGGCCCTGTCCCAAGGAAGAAAGGCCGCAAGGCATAGGGTGCGACTGATGCACAACACTGCTACAGCTATCCACTGCAATAACGACAGTGATATACAGTATTTACGACAGTGAATTCCACTCACTTAACTTCAAAGTTCCTTCTATTGTCTTTAAAATATGGTTGAAGTGTACTGCAGAATATTTATTGTAAACTAAAATATGCTTTAATGTTATTTCTAACAAAAAAACAAAGTTTGAAAGTTGGCCTATATGTATCAAAATATATTTGTAATTACACATACACATTTGCAAATTAGTTGCAAAACAAGTTGCAATTTAGTACATTTAAAAATGGATTAACTTTAAATGCAATGGCAAATAACACTACAGATAAAATTATAATCAAGTAGCCTACTTTACACGTGATTTAGTATGTTAGTCAATACATCAAAATAAGTGTAATTTTTTTAAAGCATGGCAAAAGATTATAATTATTAAAAAAATTATAATTTGACATTATTGCAAAGTGTTTAAAAAAAACATAGTTTACATAAAAAAAAAAAAAAATAATAATAAAAAATTTATTAATATGACCAAAATTGTTACAGGTGTTTTACCTTATTTTCAATTTTGCACTTCATTTTGTTGTGTTTTAGGGTTAACAAAAATGTTGTTGTTGTTGTTTGTCTGTTTTTTCCACAGTTTGGGCTATGCACAACTCTGGTCATTAATTAATGAGTGTATTGTCCCCATACACCCCCTCACCCCTTTTAAATTAAATTTATTTATTTATTTGTTGTTTGTTTTATTTTTTCAAACATTTTGTATTTTGTTTGAAGTCAAATCTCTGTTTATATTCCCTCTCCTTAACAACAGCTTACGTATATGAGTCAGGCTGTCCACCACATTTCTGTTTTCTTCCAGAGCTTAAATCTGAGTCACTGACTCTAACAGCTGCTGTTTGATTATGAGGTTTAGCATTATGAATCATCATATTATCACTGTGAATGTGCATGTTCCATGAGGTTATCGTATAACATATGTCTCCTTATTACATGGCTCTTAATACATTATTCTGATTGGTCAACTGTAGCATTGAGGGGTCGATTATTTTTTCAATGTCTATTAATTATATTCTGATTATATTCTGATTATAGGTTGATTATATTATGTTTGCTAAACTTTTATTGGAACGTTTGGCTTGTATTGGAGTAGCTGACAATGCCCTTCTTTGGTTTTCATCATTTAAATGACAGGAAGCAGTTTGTTTAGATTAAGCATGCTCAGTCAGAGCCTGTTACAGTTACTCAAGGTGTTCCACAGGGGTCAGTATTGGGTCCGCTTTTATTTATTATTTATATGTTACCTCTTGGTCACATTTTTAGCATGTATGGCATCAACATACATTTTTACACTGATGATACATAATTGTATTTATCCACAAAACCCAACGCTTTCCATCATCCTTTCAAGCTCACTAAATGTTTGCAGGATGTTATAGTACTTGGATGACTAATAACTTTTTTAAGTTAAATTCTAACAAAACTGAGGCCCTTCTTGTTGGATCTAGATCTGTTTTATCCAAAATCACATTACTCCTATTCTCTTCCAATTACATTGGCTTCCTGTTAACTATCGGATTTAATGTAAAATTTTGCTGCTTACCTATAAAGCACTTCATAATCAGGCTCCTGTTTTGTACATTCCTTCGCGTTCTCTGAGATCATCTTCTGCAGACTTATTGAGAGTTCCAAATTTTAAGTTGAGTTCCTTTGGTGGTAGGGCTATATTTTATTGTTTTTGTTTGTTTGTTTGTTTGTTTATAATATACAGTGTCCTTGAGTGTCTTGAAAGGCACCTAAAATTAAAGGTATTCTTCTTATTATTATTAAATAAAACTACCACATTTTGTCTTGACAAACTATATAATATAATAACTAAAGAATATAAATTATTATTATTATTATTATTATTGATGTTGTTGTTGTTTTTAAAATAAATAATATAACTTATTTTTTAACAAAAAAGTCAAGACAAAGGTTAATATCTTTATATAATAAACATATTTACTTTAATTCTCTATATTACATCATGAATGATGTAAGTATTTATTATATGAGAACATGTCTCTGAAATGTTTTTCAAAACTGTCCTGGAGAAGCCCAGCACTGTCTGCCTCATCTAACACACCCGATTCAACTCATCAGCTCTTTAGTAGAGTCTTTAAGACCTGAAGTGGGTCAGCAAGAGTTGTGAGAAAATAAGATGCGTGTCAGTCATGTTCAGCAGCCCAGCTGCTGTAATGTAAAATTTAATAGCTTTAAGAATTAATCTTTAGTTAAATTAGAATTTAGTGTTTGATAACTTTATTCAATTTCTGCATATGTCCTACTTGCTGAAGGGCACAGGTAGCTACATATGACATTTATTATAATGGGTTTATATGAAGATTGTTTTAAGTTCACTTAAATTAGAAGTTGTTATTTTTTAAAG